GGGGGACAAGCAGACGTCGGGGGCCCCATGGCGGGGGCTGGGCTCTGACTGAGCAGCCTCTCTGGGTGAGCCCTGCACGGTCTGGCCTGGTGGCAGGGAGGGACATGGCACGTCCTGGGGTTGGGAGAAGCAGGGCCTGGGCGCCGCTTCCCGGCAGGGTTGCCAGATGGTTTCCACAATAATACCGGACACACTTGCCATGACATCACAGTGGCACATCACATCTTATTTAGAAAACACTGGACATGGATAATTCCTCAAAACCGGACACCTGGCAACCCTACTTCCTGGCCATGGTCAGTGTCCACACGACCACGATCCCCCCACCCCCCGTGAGCCAGGACTCCTGGGCAGGGGCAGATGATCATTTTGCGGGGCCCAGAGCAGCCCAATTTCGCGGGGCCCCCCTTTGCCATGGCGCATGCGCGGGGCTTCTTGAAGCGCGGGGCCCGGGGCGGCCGCCCCGCTCGCCCTGCCCTATATCCGCCCCTGCTCCTGGGGTCCATCGCTGGCTCGGGGAGGTGTCACCTAGACAGGCTAGGGCAGGGCACCCACCTTGGGCCAGTTCCTAGAGCTCCTGATGGTTTTGCCTCCTCCCCCCATCTGCCGGCCTGGGAGTGTCTGTCTCCCCGGCACCTGCCCTTTGGCAGAGCCCAGGCCTGGATCCCACCCACTGGCATCACAGCATGCCCTGCGCAGAAGTGGCCACCGCCGTGCTTTGGGGTGGTGGCTGCCCTAGGGCAGCTCCCAGCATGCAATGGGAGCAAGGTTGCTGCCCGTATGCCGGTTCCAGCATCCAATGGGAATGAGGCAGCTGCCTGAGCAAAGTCCCAGCATGCAATGGGAGTGAGGAGGCTGCCTGGGTTCAAGCACAGAACTAGAGCCAGCTGGAGCATGGCACTAGACGTTCCCTCCTATGGGACTCCTCGCCGTGGGGCCGCTCCCCAGAGGAGGTGACATCACCTTGTTCCTCCAGCCCCAGCTGCTCTGGTTTGTCTTTGTGCTGCTGGTCCCGTCCTGCACTGGGATCTGCCAGCCA